TTTCCTATTGTCTGGGATCACACTGGACATCAACAGTAACGTGAGACTACTTCAGTGAGTTACTTCAATTAAAATAGCCTAAAACCAGACACCTCCCAAATAAGACTTGGAGCTGGAAACCGCGGGTCAAATATGACCAATCTGAATCTTTTGAGTTTTTTCTGCAATGGCAAAATCACAAAAGAAAATGCTACAAAAAAGCTAACTAGATAACGTACCACACATTCAGGTTACGCACAAGCCCACCTTTCCTAGAGGGGAAGGATCGAATAGTGATACACAGTGCAGTTAGGCTGTGGGTGGAGGAAGTATTCAAGTCCATTAAGTAAAGGTACTAACACCAACCCCAGTGTGAAAATACTGCATTCTCAACCTTACTAAGTAGTATTATAGCAATATTGTGTGAAATCATTGTGCAGTAAAATTATTATTATATTATATAATTTTATTATCATAATTACTATTATATATGGTGTTTTTTTATTAATAATATATGCACTTTATATACTATATATACTGTTGGGTAGTTTTGACCTTGGTGCAGTATATTTAGGCCACGATGCCCCAGTAAGCTTGAATTTATCAAAGGCCAAAAGGGTTAGGTTAGGTTAGGGGCGGGTTGCAGTTGGCAGATAGCCAGGCTCTTCTCAGGAAACCGAGGCAAACAGGGAGTGGTTCCTCTTCCCTTATCACCATATCCTGTCCTCCGCTCTGACGACCGCACCGTTTACACCCCTCACAGCTCACACTGAACGGGGATCAGATTAGCGGTTCACACAGTCATCAATCAGCCTGAACAAACCCCATGGTGCTTACACCCCTCCTGCTGAATACACACTCTTCAGATGGATGGTTGTGCTTTGAAAGTCCATTTCCTCAGCTGTAAGAGAGCGAGGGATCAAAGACTGGACATTGACTGAATGAAATACACAAGCATTGATACACGTGTTAGTAAAGCTAGAATTGTGGCCATATTGTGTCTGACTGTCAAGAACAGGGGAAGTTATTGTAAAAAGCTGCTGTAAAAATAAAAAGTTTCAGTCCAAAGATCTGCGCCACATTCCTTTACTGAAGTACTTAATGACCACATGCTTTAGTTTACTTTCTACAAAAGCTCTAATGTTGGAGATCAAACAGTGGACTAGGAGGCCCTGGGGCAGAGGTGGTCCAGACTGTATGGGTCTGGGACCAGTATTAAAAGTTTTGGATTAAAGCTTCTGTCACCTTTTTATAGATACTGTCAGTTTAGATGCATTCTATCGTCTGTATTGCTTCATTTCTGTGCTGTTTATGTTCTTTCTTTCAGTGGATTGTTATCCCAGCTGAATTGTAGACATCTGTATGTCATATAGTTCAGTTTCTCAATGGGAATTAACACAATATCATCAACTTTGGCACTGCCTATCTGACATCCTCAGTAACACGAGAAGATGGTGAGATTGGTGGACCATTGCAGTTTCTCGAACTTATCACCAAGTTAACCAACTAATATAATGCTTTCCCTCCCTCCCTTTTCTTTCTCGCTCTTGTCTTTTCTCTTTTGGTCACAATGAAGGGAAAGATATGATCTGTGTGCTTAGAGCAGGGGTCTCATATTCTAATTACCTGGGCGGGCAGCCTCCCCTAGGAGAGAACACCCTGTTCTCTCCTAGGGGAGGCTAATCAAACACTGAGCAAAAAATAAATGATTACACTCAAGTAAATTATTTAATAAACATCACATTGAGAAAAAATATAAATGTAATTTTGGGGCTAGATCTAACAAGAAATTTTAAACATGTGGATATAGCATATCTATAAAGAAAGGAAACAAGCTCAACATTTATTGGAGCACATAGCAAAATGGGTCATTTGATTGCATCATTTTCTGTGTTTTATACTGCCATTTATATGCTTCATACAAACATGAACCCAATTTTTAGGGGTAATGGGGATCTTAAGTAGTGGGAAGGTACATCGAGTACATGAATGATATTTCTTTAAAACTTGAGTTTGTGTATATAATGGGAGGAGGCAGATGAAAACCAAGTTGATGTAATGTGTCTATGATTAAAAAAACACATGGAAGCAATTGACAGTAGTGGTAAATGGTAAATGGACCTGTACTTGTATAGCGCCTTTCTAGTCTTCTGACCACTCAAAGCGCTTTAATCTGAAAAACTCTGTTAGTAGTGTGAGATTTCCAAGTGCCAAGCTTCAATATCGGATTATCGGGTGAGTGTAAATATAGATCTATGAGACCCAAGGATGACCGTCACTGTGGTCTAAGTAGAGAAAGGCAGTGGCATCACCTTTCAGTGTCCAAGATCAATGGCCACATTCAGATATATACCTGTCTAACCTGAAGATGCTGAGACGAACAGTGCCCCGCGTCTCAGCTGGTCCCCCCTGTTCTCACACTAATCCACTGTTAATGAGAGTCCAGGATCAAAGTGAGGAGCCTCGGCCAGGACTCGGAGCAGTTCCAGGAAGTCAGCCGCTGATATGGATGTTTGGGAACAAGTGACCCCTGAAGCCCCCTCTGTGACTGTGCTAAAGCGTATTGGTCATCCTCCAGCCAAGGGCCATGGGAAGAGGGAGAGGCTTAACCTGGCATGCTACCCAGCCCTGGGAGAGCTTTGTGTAATGGAAAATATACAGGGCCACTGGGCACGCAGCCATATAGCTGTGGAGGAAGGATGCTGCAGATGCAGGAAGGGTAGCGGACCGACTGTGTTCACAGTCAGTCCTTAATGAGGACTTCTATGTTTCCATCCATCGTTTTCCTTTTCCTGTATATCCAGAAAACATGATGATGAAAAATATATTAATACATTAATTTAAAAAAAGTTCTTTCTCAATGTGCTTTTAAATTTATGCGGGGCTCCAACAGTCGCAAGCTTATTAAAAATTGGCATTAATAACTTCCCATTTGAAATTCTTTTTGAGGTTGTTGGACTCAGCTGAGCATGCTGGGAAGCCAGGCTGCCCACATATTTTATTATCTGTGAAACAATTACAATATGTGCCAGTTTCACCTCTATTATGGCCGGCTGGTTGACCAGGAGGCAGTGTGTGTTATCGAAGTGTGTGCCACATGATTCCGCCTCCAGACCCACCAGAAACCCACGTCCCCCGCCCCTTCTCACCCTAATCCCCCTGCCTTCATGTGCCTGGTATTGTTCTAAGAGCAGACCCAGTCTGAGCCAGAACTGCCCCCCTCCCCTGCCCCTCTTTTCAAAACACACACTGAAAACAGATACCAAAAGTAACAGTCCACCACAACAGAAACGCACGTGAAAGCTACCGTTTTGCATTGTCTGTCAAAGAGAGAAACTGTAGCGAATTTATACCAAACCCCATTCAAAATCATGGCAGTTTAATATGACCTTGCTTCACACTGGACTAAGTCTATGAATCATGTGGATCATCTTTTTGCTGTTCAGAGCAAACCAGAGCCTTTCTGTTCCAAAAGTAATTAAACTACATTGAAATAAGTAAAAATTAAAATCACAAAAAATTCCAGCACTGGAACATAACCATATGCCATAACCATATAAGAAATATTAAACATAAGATATGTATTTTAAATTTGACTGCACTGTACCTTACACTAGGAAAAGAACACACACATTTTTTTGTTCTAATGTAAATGAAATTGATTTGTAAAATTGGTAAAATCAAAATAACAACAAATCTTCTATGGTTACTAATCCATTGTTGTTGTTAACCATTCAATGGCAATCCCATGATGCCTTGGGTGGAGTCTGTTCAGAGGCTAATCTCAAAGGCATTGCGGAATTACATGAGACTGGCGTTGCTCTATTAAGATCTAGAGAGCCCAGAGGGTTAAAGCTGCACTACGTAACTTTTATTAAAATAACTTTTGTCATATTTGCTGAAACTTTCACTATATCCTGACAGTAGAACATGAGACAGATCATCTGTGAAACAATCAGGTTCCTCTGGCTCCTCCTAGTGCTCCTAATGGGATTTGTAAGAATCCACCGGGCCTGAACAAAAACAACCAATCGGAGCCGGGAAAGATAGAAAGACACTTTGGGTTGGAGGCTTGAAGACAGTTCATTGTTGAGTCTCATTCCCAGCGCCATTATTTGACAACCTAGGAATGGGACTCTACAATTAACTATCTTTCTCTCTGATTGGTTGACTGAAAACAACCAATCAGAGCCGAATACCATTAGGAGCAGCCAGAAGAACCTGATTTTTTCACAGGATTATTAGTTATAAGTCACCTACTGCAGCTTTAAATAGTAATTGTCTTCATTATATAGATTAATGAATATTTAAATTCCATGCTTTCTATACAAAAGAGTGTACAGTTCCTCAGAAGCACCTTTGCCTCAGTTGTAAACTCTTAATGAGCTTTGACCAAAAAATATCAATAAATAAATAACTCACAGTCCTTGAAATAAGATATTTTTAAATACGTATGATTTTCCAGGTTAATAATTAATTTACTTACTCAATTCTTGTTCTTATTTTTGAGCATGTGAGTTCATTCTTGACTTTTGGGAACACTTTAAGCTCAAAAGGTCCACCAACTAGCTTTCTGGAGCTTTCAGTCACATTTGAGGGCCTTCTTCGGCAATTCTTTTATCCAATATCAAGGGCACTGCAGAACATTTGGACTTTAAGCAACATCTTGCTCTGTCCCTCTGGGTTAGCAGCTAATAGAAATGCAGTCTTCCTCCCTCATTATCTTCCATTTGAGTTTTCAGAATGATACAAAAAGCTCCAGTTTAGGCCACTGAGAGGTTACACTGGTACACAGAGTAGAAGAACGTGACTCCAGTGTACCTGCCAAGGTCACTGGTGTCTGGATGTTCCACTTAACCAGCAAGGGCCTATTTTTTCTTAGAAAGCGGCCCTGACTCAGCTGTTTATCTCCTGGTTACAGTTTGTCAGTTACACACAAACCAGAACAGACCAGCAGCCTGGTGCTGGGAACTGATCAGCAGTGACACTGATAACATAAAACAAAACACCAACAGCATCACTGTCCTTTTGTTGCTTTATTCCAAGTAGACAAAGTGGATCAAACACATAAATATGAACACCTTGCCAAACAAGAGTGGAAGAGTGAAACCTGGCAACAGTATTATATGTATGTAAAATGCTTCTTTTGAAGCATACAGAATAATGTCCTTTATAAAAGTCAGAAAAAGGACCATTAAAGTGCATTCAGACGCCAGCTCCGATGAACATGTGAATGTGTGGTCAGATATAGGTGAGGCTGGCTCCGACATCGGCCTGTCTCTGTGGACGGAGGCTCGACAGGCAGCCGAGGAATATTCCTGCTGAGCCAACTGGGCCTGTCAATCAACAGAACAACACAAGACACATCTACAGGGCGCCGATTCCCCCAGCTACAGGGTATCACCTTTTACAGCCACACGGACACAACTGATAGCTCGTGGGCTGGTCAGTCACCAGTTTTGTCCCAAACTGTTTCCACTCCATTTGCTCCTTTGTAATTTGGTGAAGTATCCAACCAGAGAAGTTCCCAGTTAATAACGCATTACATATATGACACTGCATGTTCACAAGTCAAAATGACTTTGTAAGTTTTTTTAATCCAATTAAACCTGTGACTACAACTGAAGAGAAATGTGTCAATAATAACTAATCCACCAACAACATGATCATGTTATGCTAATGTTAATTAGTGAGCAAACTACTGTTAGCTAAGGAATTTTAGCTTGCTAGTAGGGCCAGCAAATTAATGTTAGCTAACTAAGCTAGCATAGCAAGTACAGAGTGTAATGTTTTAAAGTCAACACAAAATGTGTTAGCTAGCAGGCTTGAGCACTGAAACTGAATGCCATTTAAAATAACTCAGTTAACACTAACAGCTGGTAGCTAGCAAGGCTGAGCTATACTATTTAGGAACGGCAATGTTCTGTAGCACAGAGTGTCTACAGCTGTCAACTAATGAAGCTCGGGTCAAATGTTCTAATCCTGTTTACCTAATCTTTGATCACATAGTTTGTCATTTAAATACGTTTGTTCATTTTAGACATTTTATTTGGGCCTTGTAGCTACTTCTGTTCAACTACTAGCAAGTGAACATTCTTTAACCAATGTTAGCTAATTAGTTAGCTCCCCAGGTAACAAGCAACAGATTGGTTGACTTAATCCAATGTGTACTTCTAGAATACAATAAATAATACTGCAAAAAGGATATTGGATTTTTGAAGCTAATAACAATATTGATATTTGGAAATGAAAAATTCCAAGAACATATCAGATGATAGTCACTTTTTAACGTAAACATTTGATGTTTTCTTTCGGATCGGATCTTTTCTGTAGCGACACTCGTCGTTACTCCACAGCCGACAAACACACCGACACTGATTCTTCTGTAATTAGCTTATATGGGCCATGCAGATTTATTGACCTAGCTCTAATTCAAACTCTTACATTTTATTTAATTTTACTGTTAATTTACTAATTATTTACTGTTGTATGCTGTGTATATCAAATGACAGTACTCGTGTGGTAAAGGTAATGCATTAATTACTGTAACAGAGGTCCTGGTCTGGCATTCCCTGTGCTCCAAACACAGTGTGACTGCACTGTACTCAGGTCTTTTCAGGATGTTGTCATTGTGCTCTTTATGTTGGTATAAAGAGATAGCTGTAGAAAGAAGCCCTCGCCCTTTTTCATTCAGACAGACTGACACCAACTCTTAATGTTAGATTAGACAGATAAAGTTTTCCTGCTCTCAGTGTGGCTGTGCTCAGAATATTGTGGCTCAACATCTGGCCACAGAAAGGTAGGTCCACTACCAAACAGCTCAATAATTGTTTCCATCATTAACAGCCATTTTGAACAGTGTTACCATGTTTTAGGACCATAGTGCGTCCTAGTGAATCATTACTCTTCATGTAAACTTCTGGACCAAACTCCTATTGTGCAACATGGATAGAAAACACTTACGGACATACGCAACTTTGATTAGTTTGCTCTATCACGGCTCTGTCTGCAACCTCAACACGAGCTTTGGTAGAATACAAATATAAAGACTGATTGTTGAACAGATAAGCAGCACATATGTTAACAAATAACATAAAATAGACAAGTCAGAGCTCATTGTCCGCTGTAAAGAGTTCAGTGTAAACTTCATAGCTTGCCGCTGTATAGCATAATACTGCACTTCCTTTACAATGACTTGTTGCTGTCATCCAAAGTCCACAGGGCGAAAATCAATCCCACTGTCCTCTGTGGCAGCCAAACGCCGGCTGACCTGAACAAACAGTTCCACTGGAAAGATCAAACTCAGCCAATGAGACTTCAAAGGGCAGCCGAATGACTTTTCATGGTGGACCAGCAGATTGTACGCAGCTCACAGTAGTTCTTACGAAGCTTTAGATCCGGCTCACATCTTATAGTTCCCACTGTTGCTGCATCATCTCTTCTTCTTCTGCTGCCGCAGCATCTTTCTCCTCTTCATGATCATGGCGTGCAGCTTCTCGAGACCCTCCTGCAGTCCTTCCCCGATGATAGCACAAGCGGGCTGAAGGTGCCAGGGTGTGGCGGTGCTGAGCTCGCCCAGAGCCAACATGCTCTCCATCTCAGCCAGGCTGAGTGAGTTCCTCAGGTCCTGTTTGTTAGCCACCACCAGAACTGGCACGCCCTGGTTCTCCGCCAGCCGCGTGATCTTGTGCAACTCTGTCTTGGCCTCCTCGATGCGTTCGGCATCCACCGAGTCCACCACGAACACGATGCCGTCAGCGCAACGTGTGTAAGAGCGCCAAAGAGGCCGCAGCTTCTCCTGACCACCTACATCCCAGAAGTGGAAGGACGCTGTCCGTCGGCTACCTCCAAGTGACACTTTGATCTTCTCTGTGTTGAAGCCCTTAGTCGGGACAGTGTTCACAAACTCATTGAAACGCAGGCGGTACAGTACAGTGGTCTTGCCGGCACAGTCCAGTCCCAGAATGACAATGTGGAGAGCCTGGAAGGACGGCAGGCAGGGGAAGAGGGAGTGATGATCTGATAATCCGTTCCCCATCTTGGTAGCGCAGGACGAGTCGGCACCAAATATTCACCAGGCTGCTTTTATTCCACAGGGACTGCAGCAGGAGCCTGGGGGGTGGGGGAGGGAGGAGGGGGTCAAAACAGTATGCATAATGAGTCAAAGCACATAAACACCAAGCACTCTATTGCTTTACAAAAGCCCAAACACCCAACAAGTACATATATCCCCCTCTCCCTTTGGACTACACATCCCCACATTATCCTGGCTGTGAGAGATGAATGAGAAATAAAACAGCAGGGTGGATAGCAGCCCATTTGCACATGTAGCGCCACAGCAGCCAACAGGGATTTCATACGCTAATTTCTATTCAGTGAGTGAATCGGTAAACAACAGGATGAAGGCTTTTGAATTCTACCGAAATCCCTGATTCAACCGATCCTGAATCCAGCGTTCAGTGACAGATCAGAGGAGAGCTATTTTATTTATTCAGAGCATGGAGATATAGCTTTAAAAAAAAAGGTGTTGCTCGGCAACATAGACTGACTTCACTCTCGCTGAAAGGCGAATTTCAATTTTAAAAAACTGTAAAGTAATAAAGCCTTGCTCCTTAGCAAACAGACACCCATCGCAAAACATAATTCAACACTTGTGACAACACACAAATGTGTTCTGATAGATTCGGCATACATCTGGTCTTCATTTAAGCATTACATTGCAAGAAAATCGCGACTTTTATCGCTGATTTACAGCGACCGCTCCCGCCCTGCCCACCGCACATCAGTGAAGGGAGACTGAGCACACTGTAACCAGGTGCATTGTAAAAGTGGACATTTAATTAAAAATCAGAGCTACCTAGTGTCCTATAATTTACCCGAATTGAATAGCGGCCACTATGAATTCATGAAATGTCTCGTCTCAAACCAAAAAGCTAGCTTTGTATTTCAGAGAGCCAGTCGCATTAACTTAAGAGATTTTTAAATGGAGCCTGGCGTGCAGCTCTCTCTCGGACCGATGCTAGAGGCTCGACTGGAGGCTACGAACCAACAAGTGTTGAAAAATCGTAAAAGTTCAAATGTCTTCATCTGGCCCAACGTGGCCGACAGCCGGTTACATTCCACATTAATGAAACGTGACAACACAGAGGAACGGTTACCAGTATTAACGTTACTTTCATTGAGGGGAAATGAATTATAGTTGCCTATAACGTTAAATATCATTTGACAGCAGTTATCACGGTGTGTTCTACACTGACAAGCAGCATTTATGGTACAGTCATAAGAAACCTACCTTCACAAACAGTGTTAGTCCATTACAAAGTGACAGTATGTCCATATGAGCGGTGCTCTTGCTCTGTTCATGTCTTCAGACCCATTGAGGCATCCAGCTGAAAGGACTCCCTATCTATTCCTCAGCGGCGCCAAGCAGGACGGAGTAAACAATACAATTTCCGCTAGCGCTTTTCAAAATAAAGCTCCAGCTCAGTATTAAGCAAAATTAGGATCCAAATGATAAAAAAAAAAAAATTAAGAATGAACTAATTAATAAACAGTGACTTGAAGAAAAAAGATGGTAACAAAACTTTAAACACACTCCAAAATCCAAATCAAAGTTCACTAGGAGTTTTCCTTAAAGCTGCATAATAATGTTTGTCCTTGGCTTTGATTGGTTGTTCAGTCCCGGTGGCTTTTTGCAAATACCATTAGGAGCACAAGAACAACCCAGAGGAACCTGATTTTTTCATACATTATCTGCCTCATGCACTACTGTTAGGATAGAAAGTTTCAGCAAATAAAATATTTTTATAAAACAAATAACCTACTGCGGTTTTAAATAATCCATTTTTTTTTCATTTGAGACAAAGGATAATAACTAATTAAACCACACTGATACAGGAGGGAGATATCCATCATTCCAATAGATTCATCTTTACTATACACTCACTGACTGCTGATTTTTTGGCTACATTCACACTGCAAACATTTGCGCTCAATTTTAAATTCATAGCTCAGAACAGATTCTTTTTGTTTAGCTGTTCACATTATTTTATTGAATGTGACCCGTGTCAAATTCCAGTGTGAACAGGTCACAGTTCTGAAGTGACCTGCATGATGAATGTCATTCTAGAGAGTGACCTAAAAGTCGCAGGTCTGTGGGTAGATTTTCTTCAATCTTTCTCCTTAAGTTCCAAAACATATACAATATATATACAATTGCTGTACACCTGAAAAAGACTTGAAAATACTTCTCATGTCATCAGGTATTCTATTTTAGGACTGTTCCTAAAATAATGATAATGTTATTTCTATAAAGTGCGTTACTAAAGAAATGACATGCAGTGTTTCAAAAGATATATAATGAATATAAAACCAGGGAGAGAATATAATAGATAGATGGAAAATAAAACCCACTTGATAATAATAGTAAAATAAGATATAAATAAAATAGAATATAGAAGATTAGATGGAAAATAAAACCCATTGAAAAGAATAAATAAAACAAAGTAAGGGCAAAAAAGAGTTCCAAGCCTGTATCAGAAAGTCATAAAGGCTAAAGTGAAGAGTTAAGGTTTTAGCTTTCCTAGAAAATATTTAGTGAGCTATAGGTTCACTATTCAGGATTCACTCCAGCTGTTAATTATAGGCTAGTTTAATTTCATATATAATCTAATTAGTCCACATTTTCGTGTCGTTTCCAAACTTATTCAACACTTTAATTGTGAAGGAGTAATGATGACTTTTCCGGTCTCATTCTGCCTGACATTGGTTGGCTTGACGCAGCTCTATTTCCCGGTCAGATTGGCGGTGAACAACGCCTGCCGCGGACACGCGCACACACGAATGCGCACACGCTCACGCACGTCACCTGTTTCTGTCACTCAAACAGAGACTATGAAAGAGTACTGGACTGAGCTGAGGCAACTAGACAGATGATTTCTCTCTGTATGTTAAAGGTCCAGTGTGTAACATTAAGGAGGATCTATTAAAGAAATAGAATATAATCTTCAGAGCTGTTTTCATTAGTGGATAATCACCTGAAAATAGGAATCACTGTGTTTTCGTTACCTTAGAATGAGCTGGTTTCATCTACAGAGGGAACAGGTCCTCTTCTGGTGGAGTCCGCCATGTTGAGCACTAAATCCTACAGACTGGTCCTTTAGAACAATAGTTCAACATTATGTCAAATGAACTTATTTGCTTTCTTTCAGAGAGTGAGAGGAGAAGTTGGATATCAGTTTCATGTCTGTGTGTTTGGTAAAGAACTGGAGTCTGGACGTGGTTAGCCTAATAAATAAATAAAAGTTATTTTAACCCCAAAAAATTGTTGAAGCAGATTACATCAACATATTAAGTAACACAAACTCAGTTTTTTTAAGTTAAAAAGTTTCTTGATTAAGTAGATTTTACCACTAATTTTATGTGACACTAATGAATTTTGGTAAGGTACAGAAACATTCCTGAGTAAATACTTTTATTTTGTTTTCCTAGTATAAATAAAAATTACAAAATGAAGTCAGTGTCACTTAAAATTATTAAAGCTACTTACAAAATTACAAAATTGAGTTGGTTTACATGACAGAAGTGCTGGGTGGATTTCTGTATATGAACAGAATTGAGGTACACCGTGTAAATTAATGAGCTTTAGAAGTGTTGGTGTTTGCCCCTGCTACCAGTTTTTATGCTAAGCTAGGATAGCCACGTCCTGCCTCCAGCTCCATACATGAGATTGATATCCATCCTCTCATCGCACCCTTTAGAAAAACAAGCAAATGAGTGCCACCAAAAAAACACTGGGGTCAGAGTTGAAAACCTACTGCAAGGGTCAGATCAAACACGTTCTCACAGCAGTCTTTAAGTGGCCAGTAAGGTTTACATTTATTCACAAACGTTCCCCAGACAAGACTGTCAGACGGACTGCTTTAATCCCAGTGACATGAAAAGAAAGTGACACAATACCCATTCTGCAATGAATGGGTATATCACCCTGTATGAGAAATTCAACTCTGTAAATGTGTTAAAAGGATTGGTAGCTGGAGGAAAAAAAACTAAATATAGTATAAGACGTGTGAAAATCACATAGAACTGAAAAGAAAAGATTCATGGCAGAAACACTGTATGAATAGTCCCCACAATGCCAGTGCCACTGTGTGATACTAAAGTCACACACAAAGAACTTCTATCAAATCCAGACCAGGCCTCTAAATGAGACCTATGTTTATTTGTCAAAACATATAGCAACACCAGGCTAGTAAAGGAGACCTGCCTCTATTTGGTACCCAGCTTTTAAAAGTGTCATGGTATACAATTTATTTAGAACATTGAAGCTGCTGGAGGTAGTTTTATAGAAATGTTTCTGATTGGTTGTTTTCGATCAGGCCTGGTGGATTCTTACAAATACCGTTGGTAGCACTAGGAGGAGCCAGAGGAACCTGATTGTTTCACAGCTTATCTGTCTCATGTTCTACTGTCAGGATATCGTTTCAGCAAATATGACTAAAAGTTATTTTTATAAAATGTATCTACTGCAGCTTTAATATAGCAGCAAAGAACTATTTGTCATTCATGTAACTGGGGTCACTATTTACGCAGCAAGACGTTCTTCATAGAAGTTATAACTGTTTGCAAAAATACACAAATACACTCTAGAAATGTCCTTATATTTTCTTGCACCTACATTATAGTAAAGCATGCTTTTGAATGTTAAATAGTCAAAGAAAGAGGAGGACAGGAACACTGGCTAATATGGTGTAGTTGTACTTAATTCACACTCAGTTGTTGAACATGCTTACTGTGCCATCAACGCAGGAAATTGTTCTCCACACATTTCCCCCGTCTTCCTGAGAAAATCCGCATCAATCTTTAATTATTTTTGGATACAAACAACTGATAAATAAAAGAGGTTTACAAGAACATTGCCAAAAGGAGCTACAATATATCTGACAGCTAAACAAAGACCAGTGGTTCCCAAACTTAGGGGTGGATCTAGAGCGCCACCCCAGTTTGCTGTCAAATTTAACACATTCATTTATGTGTTTTAAGTGTTAGGCTTTAGTTAAAAAGAAAAATACATGTATTTGGAAAGATTTCTGAAGATTTGTAAATAATACTATTATATATTGATTTATAATGCCACCTTTAGACATTTCTATTCAATGCTCAATGGAATCACAATCAAGGACATTAAATTTATAAATTTTTCATGATATATATCTATATAATCTAAATATGCATTGACTTCGTGCTTCTTCAATCCCAGTATGAGGGGTCCCAGGCCAGGAACCAGCCTGTGAAGGTCGGGGGTTCATGTCTTTGTTTCACGATCACCACAGGAGTCTGCTTGTCCCGGCCGCTCGGGTCGGTCTCTATGTACTGTTTGGCTGCAGAGGAGACAGAGTCGTTGTTACAATGCAAACAGCTCGTCTGTGTAGTGTTTTCCAGAAATCAGTTTCACATGTTGGTAGCGACCTCATGTGGCAGGAAGAGGTAACTGTTTCATACATGTTGAATTCAATGCAGAGATATTCTGTGCTGTGTATGATGTTCAGCTAAAAGACATGAAAGGGATAAGAGAGGCTAGAGATCTAACAGTGGTATGCTTTTTGTGGATCCAGGGACTTCCTACAACAGAATACAGTATTTTTAACCCATTAGTGCAGGTAGCATGGTGGCTCTGTGGTTTTCACTCACTCCCTCTCTCCAACAAAATACACAGTATTCTTCACACAATTGCTGTTAGATTAAGTTCACTGGCAACATTTTGGGCAACCCTGGGAGTGTGACTGCTGTACTACACAGAAGAAGAGCAGGGTCTAGGCTACTAAAACTAGAGGTGGCAAAAGTACACTAATTCTTTACTCAAGGAGAAGTGTAAAAATATGCTCTGGTTAAAGCTGTAAAGTAGGTAACTTTTATAAAAATAACATTTTGTCATATTTGCTGAAACTTTCCCTACATCCTGACAGTAAAACATGAGACAGATAATCTGTGAAACAATCTGGAACCTGTTTTTTTCACAGATTATCTGTCTCATGTAGACAGCAGTGTCTTTAAGTTTTTTTGGGGGGGATCCCTAAGCGTTCCCAGGCCAGATTATGTATCCGGGATCTCATTCTTTCAGTCACTACCCAAAGCTCATGGCCATAGGTGAGGGTTACAACGTAGACTGACCGGTAAAGGTTACAGTCTCCTCATCACTCACACAGATCTGATGTTATCATTTCTTTAGTAATGGGTGGCATTTAAGTCACATGATTTTTGTATGTGATGATGAATTTGTTTCCATTGCATACACCCACTTGTTGTCTGCAGTAGTATTTTTAATACTGCTGTTGATTCTTTAAGGATAAGTGATTTAATATTGGCCATTTCTTTCTCAGTTTTGTCCTCTTTTCTGGTTAAATCTAGTAAGGCTATATTAAGGAAGTACCATTTGAAGTAACCTGTATGATAAGCTTCTTTATATTCACTCAGGCCTAAAACAGCAACAATACAAAGCCTAACCCACTTACGGAGTCAAATCCTAAAACTCACCAGATTTGACAGATTCAGTCCTCTCCACCTCGTTGGCATCCTTTCCAATCCAGACAAACACCTGCAATAGAAGACTGTTTGTATTAGAGTGACTGTGCAGTTTGTCCAGAGACGATCTAACATCTGCTCCAGCTGTGTACCTGATCCCACACATCCAGCAGCATCACATCGTCTTCAGCCAGGTCAGCCTGTGTGAACTCTCCTGGAACCTCCTCAATCTGCACACATGATGATAACACCGCTTAGAATAATGCTCCACCGCATCCCGTTCAACACACTGCTGTGTTTCTCACAGATTGGATTGGGATTCCACTGATCACACGAGGAATATAACAGCTAACTGAAGCGTCGTGTTTCAAAAGATATGATTACTAACTGGTATATAAAGCAGGTAAAGCAGGTAGCCTATGTTAGATGAGGGAGTGATGATAGGTAAAGAAGGTCTGACTCATTCAGTTTTTTAATATAGTTAATCAAATGTACTGGTTGATGAGCTGGTGGATCAAATACTTACTATGAACCTGCCAGTCTTATTGGAACATCCAAACAGACGAACAGGGTGAGTCGCCGTCTCACTCTCCAGTCCATCTGAGGTCTGGTACTCTTTCTTCCCCCCTAATCCTGCCCAGAAGTCAGCTGCAACACAAAACACACACTGACTCAGGTCGACCAGTGCAGCACGAAAGCTTGTGTCTGAGCAGATGTGGTGTTTCTTTAATTATCCTTCTAGGTCTACACTATGCTACTACCCATGCAGAAGCTTACAGTTGTATGAGGGTTCAAACCCCGAATGGGTAGAACCCTATTGTGTTTGGGGTGGGGTATTAGGGTTCAGCCAGAATGGCAAAACCTGGTTTGAGCCAGTTTATCATTTTTATTTATTATCTGCCCAATAACTGTAAATTATGTGCAAATGCTTCCCAAAAAACATGCATTCTTGGATAATTGCAGCTGGAACACGATTCTAGCTGTAATTAAGGCCCAAAGAGAGCAAATTTAAGTCCAGCTCAATAGACCACCATTAAAAATAAAAGAGCAATTTGCAACAGTTGACAGAACACCTCCAACTGTAAAAAAGGTTAATTAGGTTAATAGAATGAATTTTTGATCCATAGAGGTTTTAAATTGAATGCCTACCTTAAAAGCCGAGAAAGGTGATTATCTGTGAAGTCATCATAATGTAAATTCATGCCCATTTTTCCTGCATCTAATTATCCCCCCCACTGACAGGAGCCATGATAACCAGATAATCAGTGTTATTCACTTCACCTGTCAGTGCTCACAATGTTATGGCTGATCGGTATATATACTGTCAATGTGTAAAGTCTATGGGCCAAGCGGGAACTCACGAACAGAGCCAGTGGGAGAAACACTACTGCACGTATTCAGTTGGTCGCAGAAGACTCTTGGTGTCCAGTATCTAGTTCTATTACATGTCTATGCTTGGAATATAAAAGTCTGCCATGATTTTTGCTATATATATAAATTAGAAATACAGTAATACCAATAGAACACTATTGAGCATGAAATTGATCGTTCAAAAACAAGGCTGCCATCAATAAGATTATCTTTACTTGAGCACACAAAGACCATTGAGTTTTACTTCTCACATCACTCACCCTCTCCAGAGGGATCAGATAAGATGACATATATTTATAAGTATGCATGTGAACTGTAGATAATAACCTGGTTCATTTCCTTCCATGATGTGTTTGCTGCTGCAGTTCAGCTCTTTACTTATGTACTCAGCTCCCTTTTCCTCTTCTTTACTGGCCCCTCTGCCCATCCACAGATAGCCCCGCCCATCAGCCATCTTCAGCAGGAAGGCGTCATTAGAGTTTAGACTGGCTGCACTGGCGTCAACCTGAAACATAACATGACATTTAACACAAACAACAGGCATTGTCACAACTGACTCCCCTGTAGTAAGTGCAGTCCATACAGCAAGAAAACCCTCACCTCTGCTATTCTGGTGATGGTCCCCAGGTTCCGTCGCACCTGAAACAGTCGGGTTGGAGGCGTGGGGGCTTGTACTCCACGGCGGGAAGTACCACTCTTATATACAATGAGGGGTTTGGATTTAAAGAGACTCAGTAGATGTGGGGGTTCTTTACCCTGGCACACTCGCACCTGATGACACACACACACACAAAAAAACTCCTGTGTAGGCAATCTCAAAGAAATTTGTGGTATACATGTGTCCATTTGTGGAGAAAAATCATTTTGAAATATTCAGGATTTAGGGCCCCCAGCTAGTTAACCTGATAGAGCACATGCCACATATCAAAGCTCAGTCCTCTCCTTTCTCGTCAATCTCTACTGTCAGAAACCAAATGAAGCTAAAAAACCTATGAAAAACCTTCTATCTCTCTCTGCGGCCTTGTATCACTCCACTAAGCCCCTCCCACCAAACCTACAAGTTGTGCGGCAAGCAAAAGCAAAAGGTCTGCTCTCCCGGGCCCTCTCCACGAAGTGTTCCGTGTTTTGCAGGCAGTGCCGGGGCAGAGCGCCCCACACCACGGCATCAAACATAATGAGCCCACGGTTCTGTGTGGACGTGTTCACACAAGTGTTTTGCAAGTTGCAGGATTTTCTGCAGGACTTTAGACCACTGAATCAAGCTTTCACCATTTGAGGAAACTTGCATGCGCATCTGCATTTGTGAAACAGCATAAAGAAACTCCCTTTCAATCAGAGCAGAGTCTTGAATTTGATCATTGCTCAAAGGGATCTTGAGTTATGAGCAAATAGGTGGTAGGCCACGCCCATTTTCACCAATCAATATGGCAGTTCAGATCTGATACTGGCTGTACCTGAACTGCATTCCCTTGAAGCGAACGATCCAGTTGAACAGTCAGGAAGGCCGAGGCTGTCAGCTCATCCACAGAGCAGCTGGCCCCTTGCCTACAGGTCAGAAGGAGACAAGTAGCAATGATTTGTACTGGATGTTTAAGATAAAACCACAGTAAACATTAAAGCTGAACTAATCTATATTTTTATATTCAGGAAAAAATAAATGTATGTTTTCATTAGTGTATAACCACCTGAAAGAAATAATCGTGTTTTCGATACGGGTTGCCTTGAACCACCATGTTTCTACTGTAGCCCAGAACAGACAAACCAAACACTGGCTAAATAGGGTGTTTCTGTTTTTCACAAGTTTGGTGGCCACAGTAGTTTCTCCTACACATCACTGAAAACCACTAAATACACACAGTGGTCCTTTAAGTCATTTCTAGTTAGCTGCTAGTAGTCATCACATTTTGTAATCAGTATGATCACATTTGACCCGCAGCTCCAAAAACTATTTGGGAGACCTTCAGCCACCTCTAGTGTAGGAAAATAAGGGACCTTGCCAGCAGGGTGTCCTCACCCATGAGATTTTGAGCATCAGACATAATTTCCAGCTTTCTGATGATTTTTTAATGCACCAATTTGTTCTTTTTATGCATCTGTTTCAAAGTCCTCAGCTACTCTCATCATGAATGTAAAGCAAATAGTCAATATTAGTAAAGTACAGTTGCATCAATTATATAAAGGATTAAAAGACATGGGCAAAATGTTTGGTCTGTCAGTATAACTGTGTCCTCTGCCCTTGCGCTACTTGGACGCAGTAGATGTTGCTTCAGGTCAGACAGTCCACACGGGGAACAGAAAATACTATTGGTCCATTTGTGGTCCGTCTGCCGTTGAAATTGTTATTCAGACAGCTTCTTTCTTTTTACCAGTGTACTTGAGCCGGAGGTATTGACCTACAATAAAAAAAAGTTGCATCTGTGTGTCCTTGAGCAGCAACAATGACGTGTGACGAACAACTTTGTGATTCTGTCATTCTCTTCTGCAAATTCTGATTTAATTCTTCACAGCTATGTCTTTTGAAACTCTTTATTGTACTACTACTCAATTATTTCTCATGTCATTCCAAGCATGTGAAAATGTAATGTAGGCATTAGAGTTGTGTGTACACGAAGTATGAGACAAATTGTGTCCTGTATTAATTCAGTAAGGGACAGTATGTTTTATTGCTTAATACGGGACGATCTCGTATTTTACAGGACAATCCTGTATTTTACGTGATGGGTGGCAATTTTAGGCACAATTTAAATGCTGGCACAATATGAAAATAAACAGATATAATTGACATGAATCAGGAAGCTTGGAGCATTAGAATACATCACAGAGGAAGTTACAGCTCTATGCAAAACCAGTTCAGTGAGTGAACGGAGTCATACCAGGTGTAGATGATGTGTCTTGTCCCGTAAGTGTACAGGATGATATAACAGTCCCCACCATAAAACTGCCCGTAGGTCTTTGGGTCAACAGGAACTCTGCCGATGCTCTCCACCCTCCAGATCTGAAAGATTGAAACAAGAAGCACTACTTTAACCGTCACATGTCTAATAGAGAAGTTTTACAAAATTTTACCGCTAATCCAATCCACTCCACACTCTCCTCTCCTCATGGCCAACAGGGGCTACCAAATAACCTAATTATGTTTGTTCTCTGCTTATATTCTGTCATAATTTAAACAAAATAATAGTATTAGGATCAGGCCATATCATGCTTCAATTATATTCCCCTCAGTAAATTTACATTATGTTGTTGATATTAAGCTACAATGTATTGCTTATGGACTGGACAGTGTGTGAATTGCAACAAAAAAGGCCAGTCACGTTATTTAGCACAACCCTAACTCTGAACCCAACATAACCCTAACTCTAATTATTTTTCTGTTTTTAATCCATTTTAACAAGGACTAGTTATGTCTTTACACAGAGACACAGTTACTGTGTTTGAGTACCTCAATCCGGTACCATACTGTGTACAGGGATTTAGAAATGCTAAAGTCCAAAAAAAGAATGTGCTAGGCAGGGCTGGGGGCATGCAAAGTGTCCAAGTACTGTTGAGTATCGGCCCATTTCAGTCACTGGAACTCAAGTAACATCTAGGTAACCTCTGTTTCACCTTGTCACAACAATCTCCAATGGTGTTGGAAACCCATAGCTTCCTGAAGATGTGTAGTTACATTTTTGAGAAAATGCACTTTGACTATGGCAACTACATGCGTAGCCTATATACATACACGATAACTTCTTAATGGACAATATATCCACCTTAAGAAGATGAAGGGGTAGTAGGAAAAACACCTCATGTTCCGCAGGTCTTGAACCATTAGTTAGTGGAAGTCATCAGCATTTATTTACCACTGCAGAAAACCCAGCACTAGCATTGGTTTTACATGCAGACCACTGGTATATTCAGTCACCTGTGTGTCTCCACTCCCATCATCCACCATGTTGTACTGGGCTGCCATGTGTTGGGACTCATGGAGCTTGGAGGCATCAAACTCCACCTGCTGGATCCTCGCAATCCTCTCAGTGACAAACACCTTCCCTAAACCCTCGCTCTGGTCTTTGTCCTTCCAGCCAACGAAGAACTGCTTGAACATGGGAGTCTCTCCTCCCTCTGGCAACACCTGGATCTGCAGGACCATCAGTAGCAACACTATCACCACTGGAACCACTTTCATTTTTGTAAGAGTCACACATTTTAATATGGTACTTCTTAAACATATAAATAATACAGTAGCAAAGTGACAATGACAGTAAACCTGTGTGTTTGCTGGGTAGCCCATCTGTTTGATGAATCCCTCAGCTGTTTTCATGGCTTCCTTTCTTTCACTGGGGTTGGCTTTTTGCCCTGTTGGAGATCAATGAGATGAGATGGAGGTTGATATGAAAAACCCACACAGCATGCTGTCACAAAGACAATAAACCATTCAAAGCATACTGAAAGGTGCTACTGTCGGATTACCTTTCCATACAAATATCATCTTGTTTTTGCCATGATCCAGGATGAAGCACTCGTCTGAGAGCAGGTCACTCTGGAGGAATGGGTTTTCCTCCTTCACAACAGTCACTTTCATGGACCCTGACGCATCAGATACCTGGTAACATACAAGCACGCAAAACAGCTGGCAATTGAAACAAAGAGACAGGTGGCTTAAGAATTATAATGCCATAAGCCGTAATTTTGCAGCAAAATCAGTTCCTTCCAGTATTTAACTGGAAGAATTAACTGGTACACAAAAAGTAATGGTTTAGTTATAAAACAAGATAATCTGACTGCACCAGATGAGAGGAACTAGAATTACCTTGTGTCTCCAGCTGTCTCGCAAAGTTAGAGACAAGAGTCAACAGTACTTCTTAATGGGGTTTCCCACCTCATGGCTGTACCCACCACTAAGGTAACAGAGGTGCAGATGCAGCGCAAGATATAGCTAGACCTTGTTGAAATGGATGGATTTAAAATGGTAAAATAATCAGGGTTAGGGTTTTGCTGTGTTCAGGGTTTGGGTTGTGCTGCATTAGGCTACCTTTTTTGGTCTAATTCAGGCACTGATCTAACAACATTCTAACTGTTAGCAAGCACTTAGCAAGAGTTTTTCCCATCTTCAACTAAATTCTGTCAAATGAAATGATGCAGCTTTAGAGACTTTCATCAGGAGTCACATCAAGTTAACTTAGTTATGCATGTATGCAGGACAACGTCCCGTGTGATAAAATGTCTGATCCAAAATTACATTGTCTCATTTGATGTGATAGGTTAATCATTTTTCAGCCAGTATCAGTATTTAAGTCAACCAACTGACCAATCCTCCCAAAAATGTCCAGTTTTCCTTTTACAGTACATTAAATTGAATTACTGTTATTCTGTGTGTGTGAACACTGTACCATGTATAGTTTAGCCATTTTCCTGTTAGATATGTCTGCTACTATATCATCATCATCATCTCCCTCTGACAGCTTTGGCATCACTCCAAGGACCTGTTAGTGTGGAAACATTTGTATTACAAGTAATTCAGTAATTCAGGCTAACAAGAAAAATGTAAGTACGATTTGCCTTTCTGGTCAACTGAAATAGGTTAGCCAGGATGGCAAACTGTTAAAGGAATAATTCTCTATACATTACATACAGAGCTGCTGTCAAGATGTGGTTAGCTTATCTTAGCGTAAAGATTCTACAGTGAGAAACAGCTAGCCTGGCTCTGTCCAAAGTAAAAAAACAAAACAATTTTGCTTCACGTTTGGTGGGTTAGGGTTAGGGTCAGGGTTAGTTATTGATTTTAGTTTGAGCCGTACACAAACATGTAAAAACAAAAATAAAGGGATCAATCATTTCCTAGGGCTGACATGTTCTTAAATTGAGGTTGCCAGGTTTGGTGGGTGGATGGTACACTGCTGTTCTTCAATAAGAATAGTTCCAGCATGGATCTCCCCTTAAAACCACAAACAGTTTTACATTTCTCTTTGTGGTACAATCAATGAGCTTTTGAGGTATTGATATTGATTTTTGGACAAGGATCTGGCCAATTGTTTTTCCCTGCGACATCTTGACTCCAGGTCTGTACTTAACACACAGACATGAGATTGAAATCCATCTGAACATCTCCCACACAGAAAAAGCAAAATGTTCAGGTCTGTTTTAATTCAATAGATGTATTTAATAATAACTCAGACATATCATGAGACATGTGGGTGATAAAGAACTGCATATGAAAAATAATGTATCACAGAACAAGTTGAGACTCACATCAGTTAACTCGGAAGGTTCACTTCCTTCTTCTACAACCACCAGTTCAGCGCGAGTGCTTCTCTCGTTGTCACGGATTCCTCTGGCCACTTGTGCTGCCTTCAGTCGCTCAAACTTGTTACACTTGGATCCACACCACTGATAGATCTTCTACAAATTGGTAAACAAACACAGACAGACAGGGAATCATAGAAACTTCTCTATAGATGATCCAGTTTCCAAACATTCAGCAAGAAAACACTGTGCTCTTACATCGCCGAGGTCGACGATGAAGCAGTCTCCACTGTTGAAGCTGGACCAGCTGAGAGGGACCTCTGTGGCCCTGACGACCCGCCGGCCCTTGATGTGGAAGAGTCTCTGTGCTGAAAGGTCATTGGTGACCACATGGTGGAAACCCGAGGCCACGCCTCCTGTCTGAGGGGCAGAGAACACTGTCACCCTTCTTCCATTCCTCTGTTTACTTTTGTGGCCAAGTATAATGCCGCTACACCTCCGGAGATCATGGTTCAATTCCAGTTAAATACTTTTTTTTTTTTTCCATTTGAGGTGAATAAAGCTAATATTTAGTGCTAATCACTATATAGGTATTTTTCCTTAAAATTGCCAGAAAAGGGCCAATGCCATAAAATGTGCTAAACATGTTTAAGCATCCCAGAGGACAAGCATTTTGTCTTTTGTAGCCACATGGCCTTTCCTCTAGTGCCACCCTTGAATATTATCAAATTGTCTAGATGATGTTGTCTTTTGCATGGTGTAGTATGGATGAACACTACAGCCTCTAAGGGGTTGCTAGGGAAGTGTCTGTAAATAAACGTATATAACAGTTCAACTATAATTGAGTGTAAAGTCATAATTGTACATGATGTCCAACACCAATCAGTTGATTACATTTTCAGACCAGTAATGAATTTGATCCATACTTTGTAAGTGATCCCTCCCTTGAAGTAGCTGGTAAAGGCTGTTGACTCGGCTCCCTGTAGTTCTCTATACTGGACCGCCTTTCCACACAGGTAGTCATCCAGCTGCACAGTAAAGATGGCCGCAGCGGTACTCTCATCCTGACTGCACTCCCTTCCTTTAAAAAACAAGCACAGGTTTGAATTAAGATCAAATGGCATTGAAAAGTTACAGGTGTATCCATTTCTACTGCATTTATATGAGAATCCACTGTTCTTCTGGCAGGCATTTGCTGGGCAACAAAACATTGGTTATACATATAACCAATGTTTTCTGAAGGTGGGAAACAAGGTACAACACAAGTATGGGGATTGTGTCCTCACAAGACCAGCCTGAAGAAACTCTTTCAAAATGCCTATGAAGGCCAATGAGACTGTCGCAGGCAGGGGAAGTCCCATCTTACCATTGGGCTACAAAAGACAGTCTCTCCTCCTAAATTTAAACAGCACTTCACAGAGTTGGAAGGTGGTAGGGGGCTGACCTGTATTGTACTAACTACTATTGTTGGTATAGGGATCTAACATCGTGCCCCGAGACTGCCCTGGAGCTAGACCGCAGCGAGGCAGAAACTTCCCTGCTGACATCACATCTAGGCAATTTAATTGATGTATTTATTCAGCTCATTACAGAATAAACATGCTCCACTGAAACCCCTTTAAAAAGAATACCAAGAGAGAGCCATGCCAAAAGGTGTAAGCATGGGAAAATTGCCTCTAGAACCCAATGAGAAGGGCGGAAAGTACCTTCCCTTTGACTGTGTTAGCTAATCAGACAAAAAGATTGTCCGTTGTCTGCATCTCCTGCGTTCACTTTATATAAATGTGTGCACAAATTAGGTAAGCGCTGTTGTTCGGCCGATGCAAATGGGGGTGCAACATCACTTTACAGTTGTTCAGCACAATATGTGCTCGATGTGTGTCCCTTATGTACATAGCTGAAGACAGGGCCAATAAGAATGCAGTCCAATACAAGAGCATATCAATACCAATAGACTTTAATGGTTTGTCTAGAACCAGGGCGAGGTCCCACCGTAGGTTTGCAGAGACTTCTAGAAAAAAGGAATGAACCTGAATGAATGTCAAAACATCTGCTTTGGAGCTCTGGAAAGGAAGAACACTTAGTAGTGTAGCCTCTGCACGCAGGGAGGCACCAGGGCTTCCTGTTCAGTATCATGATCACCGTGAACCATGCCTTCCTGGGCCAGCAAGGGGTGATCAGAATAATATAATATCCCACTAGGCACATGCACTCTAGTATAGTTTGGAGAAAACGCATAGAGGAGTGACTGTGGTCACTGATGGGCCAGCGTATCTAAACCATGCATGTTCAGGTCCCATGGCATGAAAGAACATAGGACCAAATGCGTTTTCTTTTTAGGCAAACAGATCTATATCAAGGTGGAGTTGCCGCTCTCTGCAGCGCATCTTCGTGCTTCCTCCTCTGATAACAACAGGTCTGAATTCGATTCAAACCCTGTCAGACAAGTCCTGTGGGTTTGACTGCTCATTTGTGTCACAAACAGGCCTGTACAATACAGTTCTGTTTGTGTACTTATAGGTTGTGAATGGTCATAAAAAAGTTTTTAAATTTGATGACATGAAAATCTGTGGCAACCCTGTCAACAGGGATTAACTTATTTTTAAACTTCAGAGAGAGGATAACGTACTACATAAAAGAGGTACATGGTACAAAAATATGAATCAAAGAAAGTTCAATTGTGCATATGCAGTCAGCTCATGTTGTCACCTTGCTAAAGCATGCAGACTTTGGCCGTGGATGAAGGTCTTTCCGCCAAAGCCAATTTGTTTGTTTAGAACTTCTACCTAAAATGTTTTCTCACTCTGGTAAATTTAAGTTTTGCACGCAAAAGTAACATATTTTAATATCTTACTATGGTTACACAATCCTGATTTGAGACATAAGATGGCACAGTGGTTACATACACATTCAGGAAAACACACCAACATCTATTTCAGCAGATCATTACATCAATTAGTTAAGTAACTAATACTATTTAATAATCCAAAAATCTTTTTTAAAACTATTAATAGGTAGGCATGCGGTTAAACAACACTTAATACAGAATAAGCTACAATCTTACACAAATCATGATTGCAATGGCTACAGAGATTTCTGTCCATTGGTCACTAGATGGCAGTGTTGATGTATGATAAATAATGTCAAATGTCAAATCTAGGAATTCTATTCATCAAGAATAAGTGCTGATGTCAGCTGGATTACTCATTGACCAGGAATGCACTTTAATCTTATGATATGGCTCTTATCCCAAATATATACTGTCATATCCTGTTATCTCAGGGTGAGAAATGAGGGGGAGATGGAGAAAAATTAATGATACGTGCTATGTGTTGTGTATAAAACAGAGGGGAAGGGAGAAGGTGGGTGTGTCTTCAGTCTCTTTTCATAGTCTTTACATCTTGTTGTTGCTTCATTATCTTAACAAGATTAATATTTACTTGGTGTGAACAGTACATGTACTTTGTATAGCTTGTATCAAACTGGGGACTTAACTACTGGAGACGTGTGACGCCAGTTATACAAATCTGGAGGGTCTCAGCAAAGGTTTATTCTAGAGGCCAAGATGTCCTCACATTTAATTCAATTCAATTCAATTTTATTTGTATAGCGCCAATTCATAACAGAAGTTATCTCAGGACACTTTCCAAATAGAGCAGGTGTAGACCGAACTCCTTATAACATTATTTACAGAGACCCAACAGTACCACCATGAGCAAGCACTTGGCGACAAGGGCAAGGAAAAACTGCCTGTTAAAAGGCAGAAACCTAGGACAGACCCTTCGGCTCTAGGTGGGTGGACGTCTGTCTCGACCAGTTGGGGTGAGAGAGAGAGAGAGAGAGAGAGAGAGAGAGAGAGAGAGAGAGAGAGAGAGAGAGAGAGAGAGTTAGAGACACAGACAGATAGACAGACAGACAGACAGACAGAGAGACAGACAGACAGACAGGTGCACAGCAACAACAGTAGCAACAACTACACTAATAGTAGTGACTGATGATGATGAACATGACAACAGCAACGATGGGGGACAATGAGCAGTGACAACAGCAACAACAGTAACCATAGCTATAATAATACTTATAATAATAATAACACTAATATCAGTGATATTGGCAATTGTAGTCTAGCAGGACCATGGCAGGAGGCTCCACCAGGATCCATGAGAACCTGCGAGACGAAAAAGCACAAGAACTCCGGGGAAGAAGTTAGTAACATTTATTAATGGGACATGAATGAGTGCAGAAAGAGAGAGAGAGGAAGAGAGGAGCTCAGTGCATCATGGGAAATCCCCCGATAGTCTAACTAAGGGATGGTTCAGGACTCACCTGATCCAGCCCTAACTATAAGCTTTATCAAAGAGGAATGTCTTAAGCCTACTCTTAAATGTGGAGAGGGTGTCTGCCTCCCGAACCACAACTGGAAGCTGGTTCCACAGGAGAGGAGCTTGGTAACTGAAGGCTCTGGCTCCTGTTCTACTTTTAGAGACTATAGGAACCACAAGTAGCCCAGCATTCAGAGAAAGCAGTGTTCTAGAGGGGTAATAGGGTGCTATGAGTAGTACATATGCACATATTGTTAGATGCAAGAAATATGGTACCCCATTCATGTCCACATCACTGCACCATACCAACACCATACACTCAACAAAAAAACACACCATCCACAATTAACAAATCCACAAAGAAAAACAAACAATCAAATGAATAATACAAGGTTACACACTCAGCGCGCCGTTTTGTTTAAAGCAGCAATAGCTGCAGGGATCAGGCTTTTCCCATAACGAGCTTTCTTGCACCTCAATGTTCGGTACCTCTGCCCAGAAGGCAGTGGGGTGAGATATTGATTGAGTGGGTGTGTAATGTCCAGTTCTATTGTGGTTGCAATGCGTGAGATGGCCCTGTTGTTTATTTCTGTGAGATTGGGTGTGGGGAGTCCGATTATCTTGGCCACTGTGTTGATGATGCGTGTGAATTCTGTCCGGTTGGTGACAGTTAGCATGTTGTAGAAACAGGAGGAGCAGTATATGAGGATAGGCTGGATGATACTTTGATACAGTAGTAGGAGAAGATGGGGGGGAAACATAAAGTCCTTCGAGTTTACGGATGACAGATAGTCTTTGTTGGCTCCTTTTGAAGATGTCAGTGGTGTGTTGGTTGAAACTAGGTTTATTGTCCAGTGTTACTCCAAGGTATATAAAGCAAGGCCAAGGTTGTTGATAGTAATGGGGTGCTGTGGTGTTGGGGAAGCAATGATGATTTCTTTGGTCAACTGACATTGAGGTGGAGATGGTTGTCCTCACACCATTTGTTGAAGTGTCTGATGGTGCTGTGGTAGTCGAGGATGGAGTGCTTGTCTGTGAACAGGGCAATAATATTCACCATAAAGTGCTGGAAAATAATCATTGTTGATGAGAATTTGT